ATGTAATATAAATACTGCTATTTTCCCAAAGTTATTCATCAATTTCATACTTCAGATTTCAGAATTTCTTCAAGTTCTCTTCTTCCTATTTTCGCCACCTTTTCTCTCTCCTAGAGAAATTGTGTTATTCACTAGGTGCTAGCGAACGCCCGGTGCTTGCATAGCCAGCTCCGGTTCTCATTGCTTCCACGCTGCGTCAGTTACGGATGATTGTATACATTCTATCTCACTTTTTCATCAAGTCAAAATTTCAGGAAAAAGACCATCATATTTAGAACCTACTTATCTCATATCTTGCAAGCAGTTTTCAACTGTTCTATTCAACCAAAATCCTAGGACGTCCAACTTACTTTTGCAGTTTCCATCCAAATATGTTTGTATGTTTCATCAACCACCGGATCCCTGATTTGATTGATCTGAAAGAATTAAGAGCATGTCTTATTGACAAAATACACACTATTTTAAGAACTTCGAAAGCAGCTGGAAGTTACAGAGTGCAATTAAGAATAGAATAAAATCCTCCCTATGTGAATATTTGGTGGCAGTGACAAACCTCTCCTGCACGAAGACCAAGATGTTCAGACCAGAGGGAGAGACGAAGACTAAGAGAAAATTTTCCAGCCTTCCAAGGCTTTCCATCCATATATGAATCTAAAAAATCTTTATCTTCAACAAGTACACCAATCTGAAATGGTAACATTCATGTAATGAAATTAGATACTCCAGAAATGGAAAGAGAAGCCAAAAATTTTTGAAAAACATATCAATTGCTTAATAGGATTCGGTAACAGATTCTGAATACAAGTGAACATGTTCTAACACATTACAGTGCAGAGTGGACGAATATGATCGTGGGAGAGCCATAAGACATAAAATTATATACCTCAGAGTCTCTTGATCCAAGCAAACTCCTATCATTTATATTAGCTGATCCAATCAAAGTCACACGGTCATCAATTATCATTAACTTGCTGTGCACATACACCTGTAAGAAACAGAAAGTACATTACTCACAGGGAAGAAAAAGAAAATGCATATAAATAGGAGAGGTGCTTCTGATGGAAGGAATTTCACCTGACTGGTTGCCACAGGGCCACCATCATGAAGCCTACCATAAGCTCTTAAACCACAGAAAGAGATGTAATCATGTGCTTTTGGACCAATTAGGTCATAAAGATTATGCAATATTGAGTGTTGCCCTCTGCAAATGGTTCGATGCTGCCAATGCATTATAGCTCTTACAGATGCTGCACCACCATCATCCAGGCCACCCTACCAAATTTGAAATTCAAGATGGAATATAAGAGAGAAGTTTCTCTAATAAGAATCGATGTATGGGAAAGAATTAATACCTGGAAACCAGGTAAGAGTGGTATGACAATAATAACTCTGAAACATTTCTGTTCTTTATATGCCCGCATTATGCGCCTGTATAATGATTCTAAAACACGATTCCGTATTATCTCATCTCCTGAAAGACCTGATATGAAAAATTGATTCTGCAAACAATTCCCAGAATGTAACAGGACATTGTTAATATGAACTGTAGAATGAAGGGAAGATATTCAATGTTCAGGCATTGATTCAGAAGGATCATATTCAACAATTGATTACAACCCTGCAGCTTAAAACCAAAGATATCGAACAAAATATCCTGACCATAAATAAACACATATTGTGATATTTTGTTAATTACTAGTGTTAAAATAATGTGCAAAAAAAATTATCAAAGGAAAGTGCATATTACATTGATAAAAAAAAAAGAATTTATCACATTTTCTCCGACATTTTACTTTGGAAGAGATGGGAAAGAAATGTTGTTAAAAAACAAAAGGGAAACCAAAGGGATTATAAAAATGAACTCAGATTTATGGTGGTAAACAAGATGAATTCAAACTTCAGAAGACTTCCAAAATACCAATGAGCTCTGATAAGTCTATTCAAACTAAGGAGAAATTAAGAAAAAAGTTCTCTCATTGTTAACTTTACATGATAGCATTTAACATTGCCTATCCTTGCTGCGATATACATCATTGTTTACAGCCACACCTAGCAGAATGATTTTTTCCCATCCTTAGAGAGAAATAGGTGCAGACTGCAGAGGATATTTCATTCTTAACTGAAATAACATAACAAAGGGCCAGACTGCTTTTGCATTATTCAAATTGAAACGCATTTCTTTTTCAAAAAAAAAAAAAGTATCCTTTCTTTCAGCCAGATCCTATCAGTTTATCACCATTGCCATCATCATCATCATCATAACCATCTAAACTTGACACAAATCTAGTGCAGCCCAATGCAAACATACATCTTTTTGTGTTTTGAAGTGGTATCCAGGCTTAAAATATGCTTCCCAAATAGTTTCAGTCAATCTATGGTGTCAGTTCAGGGAGATCAAGGATCTGGTTGTGGGACGACTTGACAGGTTCCAGTGACATTAGAAATCAGCTTATCTACCCAAAAGGGGAATCTAAAGTCAACCAGATGTGCTCTATATTATATAACATTATTAACTTTCTTGGTTCACCATTTTGACATCCATTTCAACTAGGTTGGTGAAGATTGATGACTTCTTCATAGCAACTCTTGATTTTTATTAGATGAATGGTTTACGTACAAGCATGCCAAGCATCCTCATTTTAGGCTGGTTATTACCACTTAGTAGGGGCTGGCACTCCTAATTTAGATAGGACAAGGGTAGAAGTAGTAAGAAATGAAGTAAGCGCCAATAATTTAACCACGGATATTGCATTAAACAGAATGGACTGGAAAAACACGATTCGTGTAGCCGGCCCCATATAGTTGTGATAAGGCTTGGATGATGATGCGACAAGGTGTTTGCTGATCTATGAATTCAAGACAATTCAATTTCTGTTTCATTAAATCCCTTATTTCTTGAATGTGTTCTAACAGCGCTATGATCCTCAATTGGTTTCTTGGAACCAGCTCACTACCACTCCTGAGTCACCTTTCACAATCACTGAACTAGTTGAGAGATCTTGCTACCTGCAGCCCCTGTACCACCACAAGCAACTGAACTCTTATGGAATTCCCATGGCCTATAGGCCTTGAGTACATGGCTAAAGATAGATCCATGGGAATCTTTAAAAACCCTTCCAATACCTGATGGTCCTAGTTTGCCTAAACTACACCCATCAAAACATTGTTTAATTGGACTAGAAATAGGTACCATTGTCAAGAGACCATGTGCCAAGGTAGAGAATGATAAAGGGTGTCTTGTGTTAAAAGGACAAGCAAAAAGGAGAGTTCTGTAGAGTAGAGGTGAGCGAGTGAATTCTGAATTTAGAAAAAACACCAAAATCCGTAAATTCCGTCTATTCTTCTCTGTTTTTGCATCATTTTCCTTTTGTTTCTTTTGACTTCCCTTCATAACACCAATGGATTTGCTGAAGAAGACGCCACCAATTGTTAATTTCTAAGATCATCCAAAGAGAATGGCTCAAACAACTTATAAGTTCTAATCCAATGTGCCACCTTTATTGAAATACTTGCAATGATTACTTCTTTAGACTATGCAGTACCATTGAAGATTTTGCCATTCCTTTCTTCCCAAGTAGTCCAAAATTCTGCCTTTAAACACCACTACATAATCTTCCCTTTCTTCCTTGGTAAGATAAAGAAAGAGACTTTGAAAAGATTAGCCACCTCATTAGGAGCATCCCACCTGCACCCAAAGAGAGTAAAGAACCACTACTAAACACTATCAACAGACAAGTAGGAGATTAGTAGGTGATTGTAGATTCTCTACTGCCTTACAAAGAACATAGGTATCAGAAGATAAACACCAAAAAGGTCTTCTCTTCTGCAGAGTTTTGCATATGTTAATATTAGAGTGACAAACCTTACAGCAGAACGCCCTAACTTTGGATGGAACTATGATGCTCCAAATTCCTTTCATCAGAAAGGGATGAAATATAATAAGATGAGGGGAGGGAGCTTCAAACAAGCAGACACACAAAAAAGGCCATGAGAAGAGGCCATCCAACTTCTACTATCAGATTTAGTATTAAGGATCACGACTTGATATGGAAACAAGCAAGGTAAATGCAATACTTTGAGTGAACAAAATTGTACCGAACTGAAAACCACAAAATATACCAGATTATCATAGGTTTCAGAACTGAACCTAATGTAGAACTACTCTTGGAACTGTTTTACTACAGTGGTGATGACATAAAGATGGCCTCTGGTGCGGACACACAGTGATAGAGGGATTGGAAAGCACCCAACGGGTTGATTCCTCAAAACCCTAGCTGGGTTTGAGCTACAACTCAAATAAAAGAGAAAGAAGCAAGTCTCCCCCAGAAACAACTCCCTTCTCTTTTATATGACTCAATGGCTTGCTGAAAAGCCAACTAAAATATTTAGACATAAACCCCTAGAATGTCCCTCCTTCACAAATAGCTCCATAAGAACAAAAAGCAACTTCAAACAACCCCCAAACGACAACTTTAGTTACAAAAACACCAAAGGGACTAAAACCTAACAGAAGTGCACCCAACTGCCCCTAATGAGAATCTAAATTATAAAACAACGAAAATACCCCTGGACCCAAATTGACTACAAAAATACCCAAAACAACTATTAGGGATCCTACTACCAAAAAAAATCATAGGACACTTACATCTCTTTTTTTGTGCTCATCATTCCTTCTAGGAGATTGACTTCATGTGAGCAAAATATTTAGCAGCCTTACACATCCATTCGTCCATAATATGTTCCTCAACATTCCAACTTGCATCAGCTTTGCCTTCTCTTTGAGTCACCTCTTCATTTTCATTTGAAAGAATGTTATTGATGGCCTCAATTGCACTCCCTCTTTCCTCAGTGTGATCTTCTTTCTCCAATGTGGGTCCTTTCTCTTCATAATTTATGCTTTCACCTTGAAAGCTATGGGTAGTTATTTGATCTTCAATATATGCAGTATCATGGTTCTTCACAACCACAATATCTTCCTGAATTGTTGTCTTTTTTGTTTTTGTGATTGTCATATGATTTTGATCTTCAACCACTGGTTCAAAGGCCCATTTCTTACTTGAATCAACTTCTCTCGGGTTTTTCTCTTCTTTTGAGGTTACCTTTCCCATAACTTCTGACCAATGTTTTAAAACGCGGAGGCGTGACGCGAGGCGTTCCACTACCTAGAGGCGTGAGGCGTAGTTCAGAATGCAAGAGGCGTAAGCCTCCTCAAGAGGAGGGGGGTTAGGAGGAGGAAGGGGAGGAGGATGAAGAGGAAGGGGGGATCTCATTTTTTCTTTATTTTTAATAAAACTCTTTTATATTAAGAAGAATAAAGATGCATAACATTAGTTGAAAGGGGGGGGGGGTCTAGTCGAAGCGGAGACGAGCAAGCGAAGCAAGATCGGCCTAACTCAGGAAAACAAAATGGGCTGCATCGAAAAGGGGGCGGGGGATCTGGGGGGTGAACCCCCCCAGCCGAAGGGACAAGGGGCAAACCACTTTCTTTCCCCTTATCTTTTCTTCCCTTCCCTTTCTTTTCTTTTCCTTTCCTTTCCTTTTCTTCTTTTTTCTTTTTTTTTTTCTGTCTTTTTATATAAGATGTGCATGAGGTGCATGAGGCATACACCTCTAGCACGCTTCATGAAAAAAACGCATGAGGTAAACACCTCTTGCACCTGAGGCGTACGACTCAGAGGTGTCAGCACCTCTGACATCCAATTCTAATATTGTACTAGTTGCTCCTACTAGCTTTTTGGACTTTGTTATATTTTGTTCATCCTCACCTTCATGCAGTTGGATATTTCTATTTTTAGTATAAATTTCACATTTGATACCATATCCTGATGTGTCCTTGCCATATCTGAGCAACATAGCTTTTTTTGTCCTCTTGAGTAATATAGCTTAGAACTGTCATTTTTCACTTCAATTTGTCTCTCAATTTCTTTTATTTTCCTTTTTGTCGTTTTAGTTTGTAATGGTTTCTTTTGGATCTATTACAGATTTAGCCTTTATTAATAATTTCTTTTGAATCTTGTATAGGTTTGGCGATCTAGAAACCATTTTTTGTTGGAATGTCTAGAATGTTATATGGTCAGAGAGACTGTTTATGGAATAAAATGGCATGGATGAAATAATGGATTTTGTTGTTGTACATGAACTTTGTTGTGGGCCTCCCACTTGGAGCCAAATACAACTCAAAAGAGTTTTGGATTCCAGTGATGGAAAGATTTAATAGAAGGCTGGCAGGTTGGAAGAGGCAGCATCTCTCTAAGGGTGGAAAGGTCACTTTAATTAACAGTCTACTATCCAATTTACCAATCTATTATTTTTCTTTGTATTCAGCTCCTGCCTAGGTGATGCAATCACTAGAGAAAATCCATAGAGGTGGGATGGAGTAGATGGAAAAAAGCACAAGCATCTTGCGGCCTGGAACTAGATTTGTGTGCCAAAGTCACATGGAGGGCTGTGTACCTGATTCCTTGAAGCATTAAACAAAGCTCTTTTGGAATGGTGGCTTTGGAGATATGGATCTGAAAAGGAAGCTCTTTGGAGGAAGTTAATTTTTGGAAAATATGGGGATGAAAATCAAAGCTGGTCCACAGGTGAGGTTCATGCTTCCTATGGGGTTAGCATTTGGTAAGGTATAACTCAATCAGCCCTTCTAGAGCAACATCTTGTTCAAGCCAGGAAATGGAGAACAGATTGCTTTCTAGAAAATTCCACGGCTGTGTACTCAGCCCCTCAATGAACTCTTCCTTTCTCTGTACCTGCTAGCTCAGAAAAAGAAAACATAAATTAGAGATTATTATGAGGTCTTGAGTAATCAGGTGTCAAGGGGTCCACAGTTTAGAAACCTCAATGACTGGAAACCCTTGGATTTCTTGAAGTTGTAAGACATGTTGCAGCAGTTCTCAAATTGACCCTACAAGGTAGGATAGAATGTGGTGGACCTTGGAGCCTTCGGGCAGATTTTCAGTTAAATCATTTTTCAAATCTTTAGCTCCCAGCTTGGCTGATCCTGTCCCTTGGTCATGCCTTTGGAGGGATTGGACATTGATAATCAGTGTGCCTTATGCCAATCAGAAATTGAAGGCATATCTCACATATTGGCGTGGTGCCCAGTCTCTTACCAAATTACTGCCATTTCTTGCAGCTTTTCAGGGTAGTCATGGTCATGCAAGGGGACCTGACTTCTCTGAATGCGGCCTGACAATCTAAGGTATTCAGTAGCAGGGGAAGGAAATAATGGCAGCCAGTTCCTGGGGCCTTGTATTGGCATATATGGCTGGAGTGTAATAGCAGAATTGGGACAGAATTTACAGAACCAGAGCAATTGATTCGGAAGATTAAGAGGTGCTTGGCCGAATCGTCAGGTGTCCAGAAGGAGTTCAAAGGCATGAAAAGAAAGCACTTCCTAAACCCATGGGAGAGGATTCTTTTTTGCTGATTTTGTAAATGAGTGAATAGTGATCAGACTAAGCAGGATACCTTTTGTATAGCTGTATAGCTCTATACAATCACATCTTATATTTAATTTGAGGGAATCTCTCCCTCCTGTTTAGTAATATAATACAATGCGCTTTATCTTTCAAAAAATGCCATTATATTAAGAACATTTTTCATAAGAAGCTAATTGGAATTTTTACCCTTTATATTTTTTGATAAACAAATATTTTTTCCATTAATAATGCTTCTTTGCATATAGGCAATAGGCTGGTATCAGCAAAAGGCTAAAGTAAGTTTGCTTACATAAAAAGTAGGAATTTATTAAGATTATTTTTTCATATATTAATAAAAAATACTAATAAATTTCTTTTAGACCACTCAACTACAACCCCCTGGATTTTAAAAACATGGCAGGGTCAATGAAACCCATCTGTGTCCAAGGCAGTCTGACTGGGTTTTCAGTATTTTTGGAACCTGGCGATTTCCAGACTAAAGAGGCCCAGGTCATGGGTCAAACAATCTGATTGTCTGGGCCAGGTTGCATGTGGTTGTGGTTGTGATAGTAACGAAGTTAAGAAAGGGAACTTCCTCTTTTTCTTCTCAAAAGAAGCTCATCTCATGATGGGTGACAGCAATAGACTGTGTTTGTAGAATGCTTTCTCTAACAGTTTCTGGAACTTAAGGGCTATTTCTTATGATCTTTATGAGGTTTCCTCATAAAACTCCTTGGCAAGGAATAAATGAATTCTTTTTCCTTGTTAATAAGTAGAATAAAATGGAAGTGTTGGGGCAAGGAGAGTATATCTTTCAAACTTACGAGGAATTTGACTTTACTCAAAATTAAGGTCTTATCACTGAAAATTCCCCATATTATTCCCCCACTAAAAAAATCATCTTTTTCTTACCAAGCCTATTTTATTTTTTCTTTTTTCTTTCTGTTAGAATGTGACTTTGGATAAGATTACTAAGGCTGAGAATTTGATTAATTGGGAAAAATGACTGCATTCTGTGAAAGGAGGGAGAAGAAAGAGACAATCATCTCATGATCCATTAGTCCCTATCTTGGAAGCTTTGAAGCAATTCCAACAGATTTGGCATGCCATGGGTTATGTTGGTCTCTATTCAGGATGAAAACTGGAACAGGATTTTAGACCCGAATGTCAGGCTATTCTGAAGCATCCTACCGTTTTCTCTATGTTAAGTCATTTGGAGATAGCTCCAAAAGACCTTCTATTGGAAATTGTCAATGATGAAATGCTCTCTCAACAATGGCATTCTGTTCTAATGCAATTTCACAATGTAAATCTGTATAACTTCTTTCCATTGTCACGCCAACTTTATGAAAGAATATTTTGATTTTGTATACCCCAGTTGAAAGTTGTCATGTCTCTTTGATGTGTGCTATCCTCACTATATTAAATAGGTGGTTTTACTTATTAGTAAAGAGCTTCAAACTTGATGTGGCTCTAGTTTCAACGAAGTTATATGAATGAGTGATGAGTTAGGATAATCTTCAACCAGTTTGCCAAATTATGTAGTCGTGCAATTGTTTTCTGCAAGTTAAGGCTACTTAAAATTCTTTTCTGCTTCTTACAGAGAATGCTTTTAACAATCACTGTAGTAGGTATCGTTCAATATATGTGCACATCAGTCTCATGAACATTCACCATGTAGGTGAATTAATGTTCACTGGACATATTTAAACTAATTAAATTTTATATCCTTAATATATGTATAAAGATGGTAGTCTACATCTTACAAGGGGCAAGAGGGTGTAAAATAAGCACTTGGGTAATTTTTATAATTATCGCAAACACTTCATGGAGAGAAATACAGCCTTACAAGGGGAAAATTCATCTAATACATTGGAAGTATTCAATTGATTGGATTGGACAAAAAGGTCCAGTTAAAGATTATCATTGTACCATATATGTTTTGGAAGTTCAAACAAAATATATATCATGAATCATTCTATTCTGATTATGAAAAATTAGTATTAAATTAAAGATTGATTGATACTAATAGCATGTAAAATGAAAAGTAGGAACTAATTTTATGAAGATTTTTTTACCTCGATGTAGATAAAATATTCTGCTTTCTCGATAAGAGAACAATAAGCATTATGAATACTCTCTTCAGTTTGACTTGTTCCAGCAGACCACTGGCCAACACTTCTAATAACCTACACATAAGAGGTCATTAAAGATGGATATATAACATACAGTTTAAGAGGAACAATGGAAAAATAGAAATTGATCACAAAAAAAAAAGCATTAATATTGATAACATGAAGAGAATCAAGGTATATTTAAGATAGTTTCCTGATAAAACCAAATAAATCACAAAGAAGATAAAGAATCTATATATTTTTGAGTAAATATTTCTTGCTCCAATGCATGTTTTGTGGTTGCCTGATGCTCACCTACTATGCAAGGTTCAAAATGTCAGAAATGCCTTCTGATTCGTACCAAATTTACCAATTTTTTAACAACTCAAATTCACTAAAGATAAAAAATAGAACTGTATGGCCAGAAACATCCTCTTAGATGAGGAGAAAAACATATAAAAGACCCCCACAACCTACAGATAAATTTATTGTGCTTAATTTATCTGTAGAAATTCAAAAGTTATATTTGGAGATATATTACCAATGTATTGCTGATTAATCGATTATACGAAGTTCAGAAATACTGCTAGTAGGGTTTGGACAATTGTCAAAAAAAAAGGCCACTACCCAATGTTGGTCTGAGCTATCTTTGGTCTTAGGAGGGGTAAACTGGATTCTGTCCTACAATTTGACATTTAACATTTTTTGCAAAATTATCAATTTTCAGAAAATTTTGACAATATTTAAATGAAGATCACAAAATGGAAAATTCTGGAAAATGTTTCTTAAGCTTGAAAATCAACTCTTTTTTTGGGGAAATTTGTTTTAGGTTTATGGATTTAGGCCAAGAGCCAACAACACCCTTGAGCGATGACTCTCTTGCAGACTTGCAGTAAAATTCAGCAATTTATAAAGAAATCTGCATCTGAAGTGAATTTCGGCCTTAGGTTTAATGTTCATTATTATCAGTAAAATAGGGCAGAAAATATGGAGGAAGAAGAGAAGAGAAAGGGAAGAGAGAAAGAGAGAAGAGAGAGAATAGAGGGAAACTACTACTCTGGTGGCGCTATTTCTCATTAATATATATAGGACAACAAAAATAAAAAGTAAAAAGACATTTGTGTCCTTGCGGCACATACTACGTTAAGCATTAACTATTCTAACACTCCCCCTCAAGTTGGGATATAGATGTCAATCATGCCCAACTTGTCACACAAATCATTGTGCCACAAGTAATGGAGGCCCTTAGTGAAGATATCTGCAAGTTGTTCTTCTGAGCTAACATAGGGAGTGCAGTGCACACTTCTCCACTCACAAGTTTCTCCCTAATATAATGCTTGTCTATTTCAATGTGTTTTGTCCTTTCATGAAGAACTGGGCTGGCTACAATGTTGATAGCAGCTTTGTTGTCACAATAAAGTGGCATGGGTCTGTCAACAGCAAAGCCTAATTCGCCCAATAGATTCTTTATCCACATGATTTCAGCAACTCCATGGGACATAGCTTTGTACTCTGTTTCAACACTGGACCTGGATACCATGCCTTTTTTCTGCTTTACCAGGTGACTAAGTTTGCTCCCACAAAAGTACAATATCTATTGGTAGATTTTCTATCATCTACAGCCCCTACCCAGTCAGCATCAGTATACACTTCAACTTTCAAATGCCCATGCTTCTAGAATAACAAACCAACTCCTGGAAACTTCTTGAGATACGTAAGAATCCTTTCGGCAGCTTCAAAATGTGTAGTCTTGGGATTATGCATAAACTGACTAGGGACACCCACAACATAAGCAATGTCAGGTCTGGTCATAGATAGATATAGAAGTCTCCCTACAAGTCTCTGGAACTCTCACCAAATCGGTGATTAGGATCAATTGGTGAATCAATTGGCTTCACTCCTAGCTTAATTGTGTCCTCTAATAGATCTAGGACATATTTCCTTTGAGAAATAAAGATGCCTTTCTATGAGAAGGCAACATCAATCCCAAGGAAATAGCACAAGGGAGCCAGATCTTTTACCTCAAACTAAGTGGTTAAGAATTCCTTCAGCTTTTGTATTTTAGTTTTACAATCACCTATGACCACTATGTCATCAACATACACAATTAGAGCAACAATTTTCCCTTTTTCTTTCTTTACAAACAATGTATGATCTGACTGACATTGTTTAAAACCCATCTGCTACACAGCCAAATGGAGCCTACTGAACCAAGCCTGAGGTGACCACTTTAACCCATATAATGATTTTTTTAACTTACACACCTTCTACTCACTACCTTTGGCACAAAAACTAGGGAGGCTGAGTCATGTACACCTCTAAATCATCATTTAAGAATGCATTTTTAATATCCAGTTGGTGAAGATCCCAGTCATAATTAGCTACAAGAGAAAGGAGGATCCAGATAAAGTTCATCTTGGCTACTAGAGCAAAGGTCTCCGCATAGTCCACTCCATACACCTGAGTAAATCCCTTTACCACCGATCTGGCTTTGTACCTTTCCACTATATGATCGGCCCTATGCTTCATAGTGAACACCCACTTACATCCCATTGGTTCTTTTCCTTTGGGAATATCAACCAACTCCCAGGTGGCATTTTTGTCCAAGGCATTAATTTCTTCCTTCATTGCATTTGTCCATTTAGGTGTGGATAAAGAAAGCTTCTACCCACATTCTTAGGGATAGAAATGTTGTTAATGGAGGTAAGAAACATAGGAAATGAAGGTGAAACATGATCATAGGAAACAAAGTGAGAGATAGGATGATTGTAGTACAAGATCTAACACCCTTTCTCTTGGCAATAGGAACATCTAAATCATCAACAACAAGAGGGCTAGGCATATCAATAGGAACAAGAGTACCGAGCTAAGGAGGACCTGCCTCTAGAGAGTCTGATGATGTTAGTAGCATAGTTTCAGGCTCTAAGGTTCTTGAACTCTGCTGGCCCTTGCGATGACGATGAAAGACATGGAATGGGGGAGGATCAGGAAAAGGAGAAAGATAAACCTGAATGTGTTTCTCCTCAACTCCAATCTCCCCCTGAGGAGAAATAGGGAAGAAATGTTCATTTTTAAAGAAGATGCATCCATGGAGACATAATGCTTGCGGGAATCAGGATTAAAGCATTAATTGCCCTTTTGAGACAAAGGGTAACCCAAAAAGACACATGGGATAGCATAAGGATCAAGTTTACCACGAGTAGAAGCCAAGTCATGAATGAAACAATGACATCCGAAGAGACGCATTAGAATAGAAAGCAAGGGGGCCTTAGGGAGCAAAAGTTGATGTGGGGCCTTATACTCTAGCAACTGAGAGGGTATACAGTTGATAAGATATGTAGCACACATAACAACATCCATCCAGAAATGTTTGGGGACATGCATATGTAATAATAATCCATGAGCGACCTCAAGAAGGTAGCGCTTTTTTCTCTTAGCCACACCATTTTGTTGAGGTGTTCTAGCACAAGAACTTCAGTGAAGAGACCCACACGAAGCAAAGAACTCTGTGAGATCACTGTGAAAGTATTCCTTTCTGTTGTCTAATTGGAAATATGAATCTCAATCTAGAACTAAGTAAACACCATCTATTGAAAATCTTTTATAATCTTAACACTTCACTTCTAGATCACAAGAGGAGGGAAAAAAGGTTACTAAACAGTTCAAGGAATGAGTAATGCTACTAATGGAAAAGAAATTAATAGGCAATTTTGGAACATGCAATACTTTTGAAATGGTAAGGCCGAAAGGAAGAGAAATGATTCCTTGGTCGGCTATGGTGGAAAATGACCCATTAGCCAGTCTCACCTTATCTCTCCTAGAAAGGAGGTTATATGCTTGAAACAAATTTAACTTACCAGTCATGTGATTTGAGGCCCTAGAGTCAATTATCCAAGGAGATTCAAAGGTATGAGATGATACATGTAAGGTTGTGGCAAAGTTACCTGAAGTAGACGCAAATGAAGTAAACGAAGTAGGGCCAAAATCCACCTGGAGAAGTGACCTACCATAAAGCTCCAAATGGTCACAGAAAGAATTGATTATCTCTTCCTTAGGATCAGAACCAAAGGGATGTTCCTGTGATGTTGTTGGACAAGTTTCTTGAGAGGTCACATTTGTTGAGCTAAATTTCTTTTGGTTTTGCTGAACTGGCTTCTTAGTCTAATAAAATGATGACTTTTTTCTTAACTCCTGAGCCCACTTAGGCTTCCCGTGAAGTCTCAACATGTGTCCCTAGTGTGCTTGGATCGCGAACAATGAGTGCACCAAAGTTTGTCTTTGTCATCCACCCTCTTCTGCAAGTCACCCTTCTTAAAAGAACATCCTCCATTTCCACTTGTACCTCCTCTGACTACCAATGCATCTAGCTCCCCCTCTGCATAATTCATCACATTTCTTCTACTCTCTTCAGACTTAACTAAGGCATAAACCTCTTGGACTGAAGGTAAGTCCTTACGTCCCATTATTTGTACCTTGATAGACTTATACATAGGATTTAGTCCCAAGAGAAATGCAAATACTCACTGCGAGGAGACAAGGAGCTTGTAGGCTTTTGCATCTTCATTACATTTCCAATTCGTACTTTGATAATGATCTAGCTCCTTCTAGATTGATGTCAAATCTGAGTAATACACTGAGAGACTTCTCTCCCCCTGCTTACAAGTGGATGATTCAGCTTGCAGTTGGTATATATTTGCATAGTGCCTCTGCTCCGAATAGGTAGATTTTTCTTGTTCCCATATTTCACAAGTTGTTTCAGCCCACATAAAAGTCTTCCTTACTTGTGGCAGCATAGAAACTAAGAGCCATGACATCACCTACTATTCTCTTGGATCCATTTGTCATGTTCAACACTTCTGGTCTTTGGTTCCTTCACTTTACCATTGATATAACCTACTTTCCCTCTAGCAGTAATGTAGAGTTTGATTCCCCTAAACCACTCAAAGTAATTAAGTCCATCGAAGGGGATTACAGCCATAGGGAAGTCAATATCTAGTCCCCCACTCATTCTGTTTTGGCTTGCGGTAACACCAGAAGTTGCAGAATTTTCAAATGACATGGTCCAGTTCACTGTTCAACCCAAGAGTCACTTCTGACACAAAACCAGTCCTAGAGAAGCACTAGAACTGCAGTCCCCAAACACACCTCACAGTCTAGGCACAAGACAGCACCATCTCCATCCAAAAAAGTAATTTTTTTTAATTGTTTTCAGGCTTATACAGGCTTAACAGCCACAGGCCACCGCACTTCCAGGGTACCTAAATCCTAATTACTACAGTCACCAAGAGAGACCATACCAGTTATGTTGAATCAAAAAAACAGGTCATATGTGACCTACAGGAGCATCAATCTCAGCTACAAGGATCATATGATCCACAAAAAATGATTAATACCATCACAGATCCTTCTCACAGCATCCACCCATCTTAGTTTTATAGATTTCCTTGGTACACAACCAAGAGAGAGAGAAAAACAAAAAACTTCTGATGTAACAGTCATAGAAAGGTTTTCTTGATCCCAATCTGTAGCAGACAACAAGGAGAGAAAATATGCTCGATCTGTTCTCAGGCCCAGTAATCTCACTCTGATACCATATTATCAGTAAAATAGGGCAGAAAATATGGAGGAAGAATAGAGGAGAGGGGTAAGAGAGCAAGGGAGAAGAGAAGAGAGATTAGAGAGCAACTACTACTCTGGCGGCACCAGTTCTCATTAATGTATATAGGGCGACAAAAATAAAAAGTAAAAAGACATTTGTTCCCTTGCGGCACATACTACATTAAACATTTACTATTCTAACATTCATTTTTCTTGAGTTTCATGCTATTATTTCAAAATTTTCATGGGTTTATGATGTAATAAGCTTTGTTATATTAAGAAAACTAGTTATTACCGTGGTTTAATTACCATAATAACCAACACTTAAAACTTATTTTTAATAAGTATTCATAGTAACACAAACAAAAGAAAAGCACCTCACAGAGAACTAAATAAATTAGAGATATGTAACATTTGAAAGTTAAAACTAGGAGCAGCAATTTGTTGCCAATATAAGGTACCATCACTACCATGGGTGTTGGGTTGGCCCTAGCTGGTCAGGCCATCAGGCCTGACATACAAGCCTGGGTCTGCAAGCCTGAAAGTAATTGCTAAATAGTAGATCCTGTCAAGAAAAGATGTCCTGAAGACTTGGTATAGCTTACATCTTTAAAAGGAAAATAGTTCATTGTAAACATTAACTTGATGCAACCAGCATAATACCAAGAACACTTAACAAATGCATAAATTTCTAGAAGTAATGAAGGAACAGGAATATATATATATATATATATCTTGGATGCACAGCCCATAGGGAATGATAGAAAGCCCTTATGACTTTATGGTTTTATTTGTTAGAGAATCCTCACTACATAATGCCCAAAAAAATGAAAAAAAGGGACAGTAACATAATCAAATATAAAAAGGAAAAATAAGTTATGAAACCATAATGACCTTGTAACCAAAAAAGAATATAAATGTTTTTTGATGGAATAAAAAAGAACATAAATGTTTTTCAATTTATTTCCAGATATGTAGCAAACCTGACAGCAGCATGGAATTCTTGGACCAACTTGTCTAGCTTCCTCAGCAGAAACAACCAGGTTGCCCCGCTCTTGTGTCTCCCACCACTCTTCATCTAAATTTTGCATATCAGGCTGAGCAACCACATCCAAAGACATTCTTGTCTGAAGATCCATGGAATCAAGGTCATCAACGAAGCCTTTCATCTGCATATCTGGAAATGAAGGTTCAACTTTAGTTTTTCGGAAAGAGAATGGAAGTCCTCGACTGACCCTGTTTGATTGACTTGGAAGATTGTGAGTCATGTCTAAGCCATTTGATTTTGGGATTCCATTGGCAGGATCTAGTTCATCAACCTCCAGAGGCAACAGTAATGGGATATCTTGAAGTGATGATCTGGAGGAAAAGGAGTCATGCCTCTTAATGCCTTTATGATTATCTTCAGCTTTCTTACTTTCTGTCTCAGTTTCTCTACCTCTTCCCATGTAATGTGGAATAACCATGTGCTGCTGAGGCATAAGCAGTGGAATTGTTTGTTCATTTGGAGCTTTGTTTCTCTGACATAATGCATAATTATGATTACAATCCCAAAGGAAACTAAGCTTTCAACAAGTAAACTCAAGTACTCAACTACAAGTAACAGGGAATCAACCTTTGCATAGTTCCAGCGCTGGACAAAGTGCCTTGCTATATCACGGCAAGGTGGTCCCCAAAGAGCACAATGGACATCATGCCATGGCATACGGGGATATTTCTGACGATCCAATTCATCTTTCAATGTATCTTCCCAAGAATTTGGCTCAGATTCCCTAACAGAACAAGATGAAAATTACAACCTCAAACAAATGCAGTTACCTAGTATGGATATAAAACTTTCATGGGTTAAACGAAGTGCCAACTCTTTTTCTGATGGTTTAGCTAAACAAGGGGTGAATAGGGATTCTCATTTTTGGGCTCAGTTGTAATTGTAATATGTATTTTTGGTACTTTTCTCTTTGGGTGAGATAAGAGAGCTTATCCCCCCTTTTCTGTCTATTGATCAAAAAAAAAAATCACCTAGGTTTTTTTTAACAACCGAACTGCCTGCATGACCTAGGCTTTCAGTGGCCGTAGGTAGTTCAACAGTTAGCAATAAGACCTCAAAGAGGAAACCAGCTCACAACCAGGGTAGAGGAACCACCAAAAGCCCACGAGAATTTATTATTCTTCTTAACGCACAATGCATAGTGCAGCTGAACTTTTTTTTGATTGGTATATAGCTGATCAGTATTGTCTCCCTCCTCCCCCTCCCCCCACACTCCTCTATGCTTGATTAATTCTGGCAATTTAAGACCTTAATTCCATGCACTTTCTTTTTTTTTTTAATGGTAATGAATAACTTTATTAAGAAACAAGAGATGACGAGGAAATACAAGTTACAATATCAAAGGGTGGGGCTAATAGACAAGCTTTGAGCATCAACACCAATACAAAAGCACACCTAAAAAAATGGAGTCACATTTCAAACCCATATCCCCAATAAACATCCATGTTACCCCACTTGGAAGCTCATCTGCAATTCCATGTGCTCTTCCTGTCTAGGGATGGAACTTGGGTTGGGTTGGGATGAGAATTTGTTAAATTTTCAATGGGCCCAAACCCTAACCTGAGCCTGATGTAGCTGAAATTCTTCAAATCAGGCAACCCAACTTGCAGCCCTCTTCCTGTCAACGGCTGGTGGGCTCTTTCTTATTCCCTTTCTGTTTCCTGATTGAAAGGTTAATGCTCTCTCTGCTCTTGTCTAATGGTTAATGACCACTCTAACATATAATATGTCAACAACTAAAGAATAATCCAATATCAATAATTATAAAAGAATGCATTCCATTTATGAAAACACAAGACTAGTGAGGAGAGCTACAATTAGCTAAACATCAAGTTATGGTAAAGAAAAAAGAATTAAAACATAAGTGTTAAATTTCCCTCTTAGATCCAGAAGAATAAAGACTTTGTTATGATATTGGGCCAGATGGGGCCATAGTTCCTTTATGTTCTTTTGGTTATTAGTTTTTGAGTTAATAGGCCTTTAATCTTGTGGGCCTGTTAGCCTTTTTCTTTAAGTTTAAAAGAAGCTGCCCTATAGAGGGTAATCTTATAAATTACCTCATTAGTTCCTAACTATGTTTAATAAAAGTAATAAGGGGTTGGAGAGAGTGGTACGGTTGACTCTTCTCCTTCTCCCTCTTCATTGATTAGAAAAAGGACATATTGCTGGTTGTTTTTCATCTCATAGGAAATAATACCATCTTTCACCAATCATAGTTGTCAAGGCGACGCCTAGGCGGGCACCTAAGCATCGCCTAGGCGACTAGGTGGTTTTTCATGGTCGCTCGCCCAAACGCCACAGGTTTTGCATATTAGGCACCCGCCCAGAGACTTAAGCAGTCACCTAGGCGCCTACATTCATCTAAAAAACTATTTTTTTTATTTATTGTTTTGATATTTTTTAAATTTATTGTTTTGATATTTTATTGGATGTTTTATTCTTTTAAAATAAATCTGGTTACATGATATCATTTTAGTATTAAGACCAAGTATACAGCCTTTTTTCCTTTATGTCATAAGGGTTTTTTTTTGTTCGATTGGAGAGGAGGAGAACCGAAGGCTTCAAGCCCCAGCCCAACTCCATCGCACCTCAGTGCCAGCAGCAAGTTCTTCTTCTTCTTCTTCTTCTTCTTCTTCTTCTTCTTCTTCTTCTTCTTCTTCTTCTTCTTCTTCTTCTTCTTATTATTATTATTATTATTATTATTATTATTATTATTATTATTATTATTATTATTATTATTATTATTATTATTATTATTATTATTA